ATATATATATATATATATATATATATATATATATTCATCATTTTTAATTCTGGTTGAACATGGGTATCATGAAGTTTGTTTACTTCTAATGCTTTCTGATCACCTATCATGAATTGAGTTGCAATTTGGCTTATTTGTTCTAAAAATTCTATAGAACTTTGAAGTCTGCCACAATTCATACCAGCAATATTTGTGCCTCCATAATAAATGTTGGTCATATTCAGGTTTGGGGAGATCCCTTCTCCAAACATATCCTTGCAAAGGTCCAGATGATACCTACAAGTCATCAACAAAATTTACTCAAATAAAATTCAATCACAAAAATGATAAATTTAGAGAATCAAACATTCCAGTCATTCTTGAAAACTTGAATACATTTTTTTTTTGGTTCAAATTTGAAGCATAATTTAGACCTGTTGATGTTTTTGAAACTTAGCTTATAGAGATAATGCCACCAATTTTTTCCTTTGATATGCCAATCTACCATATCCATCTATTTGACACATCTCAAATATCCCTTTGAAGCTTTTGCTTGCATCATTGCATAAACTTGTCCATAGGTCTTACATTGTGTTAGTTTATTTAATTTGTGCAATCTATACCAAATTCTTTCAAATTAATTTTACTTTTTTTTTTTGGTGTTTCTACCTGTATGCATTCTTTTTAGTTATTTCAATATCTTGGCTATTGATCCTCTTAAATCAAATATGCAAGTTTTAATAGCAAATGACATTTCATAGATCAATCTATGCAGGTAAGTGTGATATCATAGTATAAGATCCAATGATAATACCTTAAATCAATCTTTGGCGAACGAATAGCATCAAATTTTGGTGCCACTTGGAAATTTCCAAATTCGGTACAAATTTGGAAAGACCATAATCGACCCGCTGCGATATCAAACATATTATTAACACATGAAATATGAAAAAAAAATGCATTTGAAAAATTTTATTTGGAATAAAACATATCTAAAATAATTAATGTGCCTTTACTTGACAGAAAGAGGCTTCTCTAGTTATGATCTTAGCGCAACATATTACCGCTAATTTCATTGGGAGTCGTATTCCGAAAATGTTGTCGATCGTAAAGTTCGATCGATGAGTATCTCCTAAGATAATAATCCTTAACATAAGTAGCATATACTCTCTGCAGACACCAAATCCAAGTTAGCACCTTTCTTATAGCTATCATACACTTACTATATGAACAATTTATGAAAGTGAATCTCAAGCAATTTACAATGGAAATTGAATTTTGAAGTATGGCTAGAAGATTTAGAACTTCTGAAGATAATTATTCACATCAACACAGATATTTGAGTGAGGTTCTGAATATGTTTGTGTATATAGTTTGATTCACTGTGATAAGACCTAATCATCAACAACCAAATGGGTCATTGGTGCAAATTCCACTCTCTTGCAAAGACATCATCCACTTACTGAGTTCCAATCTAATCCTCTAACTATTATATCTTGAAGTTTTATATAGCTTCAATAATTTACATACACTTCCCTAAAATCTAAATAACATTCAAATAATCTTGATGCATTAAGAGAAGTAAATACAAATGTACCAATAAGTCCTTCCCATTTGTCTTGGCATCAACAAGAGGAGAACATAGATCATCAGGAAACCCATACTGAAACTGAGAGAATACAGAAGCATTAGTTATAGAAACATAGAAAATGATGGTCTTAGGAACATCATTTGCTTACAGCTGCAGCTGCAGCATCAGCTAGAAGATACAAAAAGTCGACATTGTTGCTAATCTGCAGCCAAAGAGCAAGATAGATTGTGTGTTAGATATGCTTAGATATATCATGATATCAGTCACATAAAATTAAAGAGTTCTCTACACAATATCAAAAACTTCTCTCAAGATGGCCAACTTTGCATCAATCTTTCAAGAGAGAGAGAGAGAATGCAAAACTAGTCATTTCAAGGAAATGTTATGTTTGTACTTGTAGTAATCTATGCAAACATGAATTCTTTTGTGCCAGACTTCTCTTAGAAGTTAATTGACTGTATCGAAGACATATTGTCATTAATGGTTTCATAAATCACAAATCAAACATGATGATGAAGTGTACCTTAGTTGCACCAAACAAGTTCTTCACTTGTTGTCCTTCTTCCTCAAGTTTCCTATCCACAAGAGTAGTAATTTCTTGCAACACAGCTTTACATTCAGCACCAGCTGACTCTCCAACCTCCAAAAGTATAACCATTACGATTTTGGATGGTCATGAGATTACAAAATAATTTTAATACAAAAAGAACAAATGAACAATGCCTTCCAAACACTATATTCAATCTTTTTTTTTTATTTAGTCCAAAAAAGTATAATGCTTGACTAATTCTTCATTGGGTTTAACTAATCGAATAATTTTCAAAGCTCTCAGTGGCCAAATTTGCTAAAGAAAAATAGAATACTTATTCCTTTCTAACCCTAAAATCCCATTTTCCTTCTCCTTCACATAAGGGAAACCATCCAACTTGATCTCATACAGAAAGTGATGCCATAATTTCAGTGAGGATTGATAGAGAGAAGGAATTGGTCATCATCATCATCATCATCATCCAATTTTCAATAGTCCAAAGTATTGTTCAGACTGAACATTAAATTTCTAGCTTTGGGATTGGCTAAAGAGAGGATTATTTAGGTGATGTAAAGTAACTAAAGATATAACATGTATATATATTATGCTCATGCACCTGTTGGTCATATTCAATGAAGTTGTAGCTTGCAAGAATAGATGCAGAGCTTGCAAGACTCCCACAAGTTAGGTGAGGAAACTTCAAATGGAACCATGCACTAAGTGCTCCAGCATATGAGCTACCAATCACAAACCATGCACTCTCATATTCTGACATATTATATTTTCCATGCAAATGCTCCTGCAAAAAAAAAAAAAAAGTTGGAAAACCATAATGTTATAAACATTTGTTTGTATTCTATTATAAATAAAATGAAGAATAATTTTAATACTATAACATTCTTAAAACTCATTCCCTAAAGTCATAATTATTCCTAATAAATTAGAATGAGTTCCTTAAATCATCACATAGAATAATGTTACTCCTTTGCACAATAGTAAGATTGCACTTTCAAGGCATGAAATAATATAGTGTTAAATTTACCACCCCATACCCCATATCTTATACAATGTCATATAAAACAATGATATCGTATTAGATAAAATAATATTTAATGGCTAATCGAGTCATATATACAGTTTATATTACATTTGTAATTGGGAAATGCCTAATTCTTCTTCTACAATTGTTGTTGCTACAAAGAAGATAACATGAAGAACAATAAATTAAATACAACTTCCTGAAAACAAAGAAAGTTGAACTAAATATAAGAATGAAAAAGAGGAAACAAAAAATAGACTTTTCTGAATCCTGAAATGTAGAGTACATACTTGGTAATATTTGTGGAAAACAGCCAAGTCAAACAATGCCTGTTTGGAGGATAGAAACCTTAGGTTTTCTGTTGACAGTATTTTGAAAGGTGAACTCTTTCCATAGTACCTATGCTCAAGAGAAACCAAAGCTGCACCAAACTTCTTTGCTAGCACCTACAATATTGCAACAAAAAAGAAAGAAAGAAGAAGAATGTGGACACCAATTATTCATGATTAACAAAGCAAATATATTTTGTTTGAGCAGTGTTAAGAAGAAATATATGTAGAACTTTAATAATGGATAGTTTAGGGCCATAGTTAACTTGGTCTCCTTGAAAACAAAGCATCTGCATCATTGGCTTTCCACTAATGGTGGAGTCAGGTATTAGAGAACAAATTTATTTTGTTTGCTTAGTTACAAGATAAAAGAATAGAAAGGAAATATTATTGGATACAGAACAAATTATTATCACCTTCATCACCTGCAAGATAGCTGATTGAGTAACATGAATCATCTATATTATATGAAGAAGCAATAGGAAAAGTGTTCTTGAGAATGTGAGTTGCAAGAAGCATTGCACTTACAGATACATAACTGTGGTAGATCCCATCTAGTTCTGATTCACCACCAATTATGAGAAATATTGGTCCATTTGGAGCTTGGTAGTAATCAAGAAATTCGTAAAATCGCTGCTTGAATATACTATGACACTGCATAATTCACACACACAAAAAATTAAATGGAGTTTTGAATTTGAAACAAAGATTACCAAAGGAGAACAACAAAAATGCAGTAATCAGCATTTGGCTTAGTAATATGTTAATGGGGTTTCTTCTTTGGCATTTTAACCTCAAAGGAGAGAAAGAAAGAGAGGAATCAAATCAACCGTGGGGGAGAAGTGATCGAGGGTTTGGTGGAACCAGTGCTCCTCTTGGGTGAGGTAGCCGCCCTTCTCCTGAAGCCTGCGGAGACCATACGACTCCGATGCAGAGGGGAAAGACAAGAGAAAGAGAAGGAGAGAGATGATGCCAAGAAGAGTCCTCATATGCATGCACAGAAAGAAGAGAGCAGAAGCAGCAAAAGAGTGGCCATGCATGAAGAGGGATGCATATCTTTGGAGTTACACAAGTGTCGAAGAGTTACAGGCTTCCATGGGTTACATGTCGCAGTAATCGGTAACCGGCATTCACTTCTTCCATGATGGTGTATGTTCTTGTAGGGTTTTTGCCTCTTCATCACCTTCTCATCTCTCCTAATATATATGCATTTAATGCACGGAGGAATATTGACTCTTAAATGGAGCATATGTCGGAGGAAATCAAGAAGCTTGATATCTTTCTTCCGAACTTAGATCCTCCTCTACACCCACCAATACACGTATTGTACCACCATAACCTTCAAGTGTTAGATATGGAACCTTAAGCATGGCAGGCACATATCAACCTTAAGAGGTCGTCTATATCCACAGCTGAAATAGGCACTATTTCCCACAGCCTCGCTTCTTCAGCACATAGAAAATAGAGAAGAATCCATTACTTGATGCTAACAATTTCTTCCAAGCCCACTTGGGTAGCTCACCTGCCGCCATGGAGTCATGTGAGAAGGTCTTCCTCCCAACCCCCCGAAGGGGTCAAACAAATCCCACCGACAGTTTGTGTGCAACACAAGCCATTGACCAGCGATGAGCATCGACAAACAAGAAGATCATGCACGCGTGTAAAGCAAGAGTTGACCTTACAAATCCAGTGGTTGGTTCACCAATGGCTTCTTCCTTTTCTGCTCGCGGACTGTCGGATGCGATCATTCATTCGAATGCTTCACTTTTCGAAGTTTGGTGGTTGCCTGCTGGTTGAAAACGAAGAGGAGATGCAGATTTCGACGTTTCGGAGTCGGTATATCTTTATCTCGTTGAATGGAAATGGTTCCTATTGCTTAAACAACGCCGATCAGCATCAGCTCTCTTTCAATCCTTCTTTTTCTCGTCGTCATTTTGCAGGCACATGGAATCCACTCATGCAAGCTTTCCCTTTTCTTTCCCTTCCCTTCCCCTGCTCCATTCAGATCTTCAACAACTTGGACCAGTTGTGTGGCACAAAAGGGAGACACAGGTCCCCAAAAGAGTAATGATTTATGTTGATGGAGTCAAGATCCAATTACTACATTGTCCAAACATGGATCATCAGCATTTCTGCAGCTGTTTGATGAAATGCCCATCTTATATCAGGTTGGAGACTCAAAGAAGGACGGAGTGGATGGGGGGGGGGGGAAGAAAACATGCACATGAACCTTAGCGTTGCGCGTTGGGCAAGCAAAGTAGCAGTCTCAGATTGACTTTTGACTCAAAGTTGGAAGCTTCCCTGCATCAGGTCTTTTTGCTTCAGAAGTCAAAGTCTAAGCTGACAGCCATATCATGATCAATCATCAGCAACAGGACCATTAATTCAGCACCCTTTATTGCTTCTTTCAAATATGGTGAGAATGCTCAATGGAGATCTTCACAGACAGCTCAGTATCAGTGACAAGAGAGAGCCAATATATTACAGCCAGCATATATCATCTTCATGTAAACACAGATGGAGTGTGTTCTTATGTGAAACAAATACAACAACAAAAATAAATAATATTTTCTCTACATTCTAGTTTGCAATCTAGACATGGCAAAATCAACATGTTAAGTATATCATGTGCAAAATGCTGAATAATTTCTTTTATTTGGATGGAAAAAAAAAAGTATTAGAATTGGAAACATGTAAGAAGATGGTATTTTGTGTGGTTGCACATCATATGACATTGATGTGGCATCTAAGTTGTTCTCACAAGAGGCCATATGGAAATCCAAGTGGATCATATTTCTGATGCAACATCATCATCATTCCATTATTGCACTTGACATCAAAAAATGCAAGCAACATCATGTCTGGCCTTCAAAAATTAAAAGAAATGCAGTAATTCCTTTCCTAAACTTTCAATCTCTTGCCATTTATTGTATTTCTTCTTTTATCCACATTTTTAAAGCACACAACAAAACAACAGCTACAAAAGACTTCTGTCAATGAAATCATTTGATGTTATTTTTCGCTTTGTGTTTGTCTTTTTGGTAGAAACTGTACGCAAGAAAAGCAATCATTCATCATATCAAGTACGAATCTTGGCGTGTCGTCTTCTCCCTCTTTCTGATTTCTTCTGACCGTCCGTTTCGTCGATCTTCTTATTCCATTTTAATTTCCACCGTTGATTATATATACATATTCTCCCTCTTCTTTTTGGATGCATTGTCTCGATCTTGATTCGATTTAAAAGGAAAGAAGAATAGAAGCCCAACGCAAAGGAGGAGGAGGCAGTCGGGAACGACGACATGGGTCAGTGCTCCGCCAAGAACATCGCAGTCGCCATGGACGCCGATGCCGACGGCGGAGACGACCACCGCCGCCCCCAATCACCTCCAACCGCTTCCGCCCCTGCCGCAGCCGCCGCCGCCTCCGGGATGACCCCCGCCAGGAGCACCGTCACACCTGCAGGATACTCCTCATCCGCCGGCTCCTGGCCCAGTCCTTACCCCCGGAGCGCCGCCGGCAGCCCGCTACCCCCCGGGGTCGCCTCGTCTCCGGCGAGTTCCACGCCCCGGAGGTTCTTTCGCCGCCCCCCGTCGCCGGCAAAGCACATCAAGGCGTCCCTCGCCAAGCGCTTCGGCCGTCCCAAGCCCAGCGAGGGACCCATCCCCGAGGACGGCGGCGGCGTCGTTGTGGGGCAGGCTGAAGGGGAGCGGCTGCTGGATAAGAGCTTCGGGTACGAGAAGAACTTTAGGGCCAAGTACGAGGTCGGGAAGGAGGTGGGGAAGGGGCATTTCGGCCATACATGCTTGGCGATCGCGAAGAAGGGGGAGCTCAAGGGTCAGCTCGTGGCCGTCAAGATCATCTCCAAAGCTAAGGTGCGGTGGTATGTCAAGGGGGGCGTTTTGCCTCCATCACTTTCCATATTTTGTATGATCACTTTAATACTCGGTAATGTCCTAAAGACTTCTGTTGCTTTTGCGATCATTCACAACCTTTATTGCATTCTGATCCTTATCAATTATCTTTTTGTTGTTGATTCTGGATCTTGTTTTCAAGAACTTATGGAGTCCACATTGCTACAATCTTTGTTTATTGAGATGACGTTTGTGTATTTTGCGTTCTTACTCCGGTGATTTTTTGCTATGATGATAAGCGTGCACGACTTCATAATTAATTTAGAAAGGATGTATTATCTTCTCTACTGTGACGCCATTATTGTTTCTGTTTGTTGACTATGAGAAGACATCAGAGGTTCTGAATGAGTGCTTATCCTACTTTGTCGACTCCTGCATATTTTGAATTTTGATATTGCATGATTCTGTATTTGTCTACATAGAGAATGCAGTTATACATTAAATCTAATGCACTTGATAGCAGTTGAATTTTTTTCATTAATTTATGTATATAATTGCTATGATGATGATCCAGACTAATCAATGAAATCTTTACATCTTTTGAATGGTTATGCCAAATTGCTAGGGAGTACAGTGACTTTGTATTTGCACTTTGCTCTGATGTAGTAAAACTACTATGAATGATATGTCCTGTGAATGTTGTTAATATTGTGTGTTGTGTGGTCTTGAATTCTATGGCATTAATGTTTTTTACTAGAACCCAAGCAATGGAAAAAGGTAAACATTTGTTATTAACCATAGTGCACCCCAAAAGACATTTTCAGTTTTTCCACATTTACCAGATTATTTGCTACTGTGATTTGATATTATAAGCAAAATAATGTTTTACATCTACACCATTATGGAGCTGAGATCTCTAAGAAACTTAATCAATAATATGCTCAAAGTTTTATTATACTACTACCAGCAAAATGACTTAGATATGTGGTTATTTTTTTGATTCTTTTTTATGATTTTTCTATTGCTGAATATAATCGGTCAATCAGTTTGGAATTTATTTTGCTAGAGTTGACTAATTTTAGATAGCTATGCGATCCTGATTTTGGTTGAGGACTCCTAGATTCTTAGAATATCTGCACTTAAGGGCTACAAAGCTATGTGATAACTACTTAATGGCTGATTATTATGCTCTCTCTGTTCTATTTTGATTCTTTTTTACAATTTCTAATAGTGAACTTAAGGTATTAATTGAAAATCAGTTAGAAATATATTTGGCTAGAATAGAAACTGAATAGTGACAAGAATTCCAGCAATCTCTAGCTTCCTCTCTCTCTCTCTTCCTTTCCTCCCCCCCTCCCCCCCCCCCTCCCCCCTTAAGTAGTTATCACATAATCAGTAAGTACTTCCTCAACGTCTTAGGTGCCTCTTATTTATTAACTCTATTTTCATTTTGTCATACTCATCATTGTTCTTTTCCTGTTTGGTTTCTCTTCTTGGATCCAAACTTGGTACAATTAGCTCAATCTTTCTTGTTATTTTCTTATATAGATAAGCTTCTCTCCTATTAGTTTTGCACCAAAATATATTAACATGGGACCAGAATCACTAAAGGAATAGAATAGAATTCTAATAAGACCTCCTCATCTGCATTGTTGGAAATAATATCTATATGCTTCTTATTACTGTCATATTGCTAAACCTTCTCATTTGGAGGTCAATGCTTCTCTTGCCAATTTTGGTAATTTTTTTAAAGACTCAATAAGGGTTTCGCCAAATTGCTTGTGTGGTAATTCATTTACTTATCCAACATCTTTGACAGATGACGACAGCAATATCGATTGAAGATGTTCGTAGGGAAGTAAAGATCTTGAAATCTTTATCTGGGCATGCAAATCTGGTCAAATTTTATGAAGCATATGAGGATGATCTTAATATCTACATAGTTATGGAGTACGTGTCCTATTCACTTACTTTTAGTATGCTGTTTCTGTATTTTGATTTAGTTAATACATGTATTAACTAACATGCACAACCTTGTGTTAGCTAAATGCTTGCATATTGAGATTTGGGGGTTCAATGTGCTTAACTAAAATTATTTATTACACAATGGTTGGAAACTATCTGGATATGCTTTGTTCTGTAATTACATATGACTGGAGATTAATTTGAAAATAATTTCTTCTCATTCTGATCATTGTCTTTTGATCAGATTATGTGAAGGTGGAGAGTTATTAGATAGAATTTTATCCAGGTAATTTATGTTTTATCTGAATGCGATTTGCTTCTGTAACATTTAAATGCTCATGAAAAAGATACATCCTGTGATTTGCTGCAGAGGTGGAAAGTACGCAGAGAAAGATGCTAAAATTATTGTCATGCAAATGTTGAGTGTAATTGCCTTCTGTCATCTTCAAGGCATTGTTCATCGTGACTTAAAGCCAGAGGTCTGCTTCATGGTCTATTTCTGAATCATGTACTTACTGCTGTCTGAAAGTGAATTTTTATAGTGTGTTTTTCTAATTTCACACGTTATCTTAGCTGATCACAAATTTCATCTGATTTTTGCAGAATTTTCTATTCACTACAAGGGATGAAAATGCTCCCATGAAGCTCATCGATTTTGGTCTTTCTGATTTTATCCGACCTGGTATTTACTGGTTGAATAGTATAAGTTTTTCTCTTGCTCAGGATTTTGAACTGATACTTCCTTTTGACAAGTCTCTATGCTGTGTAATTTTCTTTTTAGCACTTAGTACCACATTTGTATCATTGTTGCGACATTAATGCTAAAATGTTTTGTAGCCTTCTAGTGTTTCAGTGTGATCTTTAGCTGGCATGATACTGATGGGAAAGGCTATGCTATTTTAAAGTTATCTTGTAATAAATATATTCTCCATTCTAAAGTTGTGCATTGTTGTTCTGAGACATCTATTTGTTGAAAACAATTTATTATTATTTTTGTATGAGCTATTTTTTCTTCATATCAGGATCTCAGAACTCAATAAAAATTTTCAAATGTTCGTCACATGGCATATACTTCATATACAAGCAGCCACATGCATTAAATCAAGAACAACATAAACCCTGCACATCGTATGTAATTAAAAATTAAATTGTTGTTCTGTCTTAAAGTGTGGACCTATGATCTTCATTATGACTTCATATATCTTGCAATGGGGTTGATTTTGTGGTTTCATTTGCAGATGAAAGGTTAAATGATATTGTTGGCAGTGCATACTATGTTGCCCCTGAAGTTCTACATAGATCATACAGCACAGAAGCAGACATGTGGAGCATTGGTGTTATAACATATATATTATTATGTGGTAGTAGACCCTTCTGGGCACGGACAGAATCAGGAATTTTCCGTGCTGTCCTGAGAGCTGATCCTAATTTTGATGATTCACCTTGGTCTGCAGTATCTGCAGAAGCCAAAGAGTTCGTAAGAAGGCTTCTGAATAAGGATTATAGGAAAAGAGTGTCTGCTGCAAAAGCTTTAAGTATGTAGTTTGCTCCATGTCCTGTTCCTTTGTTTGTTTGACCAATCAGTTCAAAATTTCTAGGTTTAAATTTATAATGACATCTAACTTACCTCTTAAAATTTGTAAAGTCTTATCAAAACTATTAAATAATGGAAGTTATTTCACTATTTTCCTTTTGCAAGATGGATGGTCAAATCCTTGTCTACTCGATTCTAATAAGCATTTCTGTGGCAGCTCACCCTTGGTTTCGAGGTGAGCAGTGGCAGGTCCCTCTGGATATACTAGTCTATAAGTCAGTCAAGGCCTACCTTCGCATCACTCCATTCAAACGTGCTGCACTAAAGGTTCTCTCTCATTCTAGGTTCAAATTCATAATCTGGATAGAATTGATCTTTTTTCTGTTGGCATTTCACATTCTTTTTGTTTCTTTTTTCTTTACAACATATGTGAGAATTATGATACATCATATGTGAAAATATGAGATTCTATATTTTTTAGCAACTAACATGCATATCTTAAGTAGCACTAGTATAACACTATGTTTGATGATGATATTTTCCTTTTCTATAACCACTTCTCAAATGCATATGCTAATGGAATACAGCAAAATCTACATTTGTTCAAAGATGTTTTTTCTTTCTGAAAGTGGACACCAAAGATTGGCAAGTTGAAAGGTTATATTTGGCAAGGCATATACTGTTAAAATAGAACTTGCAATGGATTCCTTTTTCCATCCGCTTTCAGAGGTAGTAAACATGTCTGCATTGTTTTCACAATTTATGTTAATTTTCTTTCTAGTTTTTCTTTGTAAAATGTAAAATAAACTTTTATTTGTCAACCCAAGTTTTACATGTTAGGTTGTGCTAGTCGGAGTTGTTAGGTTTCCTGTAACTATTTCATGCTTCTCTGGATGCATTACATGCTCTGAAGCATTGGCACCTCAAAATGTCTTGGAGTACTTAATTCGTGTGATATACTTTGTGCTCATATCTATGTCGACTTATCATATCTTACATTATCTACATAAGACCTCTAATTATATAGGATATAGGCTGTATGTATATCTTATGGACTTGTGGAATAGCATAATTTCCTTAATTCCTGGAAAACAGAATAAATATTATTGGATGGTTCAGAAAGGATTTTCTTATGAATAATTTCTTCATGTATGTGATATTTCTAAATTATGTGTTATGTATGTTAATATATAAATTACAACAATATATGCTTTCTATACATATATAAAATTGTAACCAAGGAGTGCCATGTCCCAGTTTTGAAAGATCTGCCGTGTTGGTTCTGTTGTATGTTTGTCTCCATGCTGCACACTTTCCTGAAGCTGAGAACTATTTTATTATGTTCTGATGTTTGTATCCTAAGTGGTTTAATTTGTATATATTTTATTACACTACAATTTATTGGTGACCATAATCCTCATTCCTTAATAAATCTTTTGCCTCTGTATGTTGTGCTTGGTTCAATCAGTTGGATCATACCTACAGAGTATGTGTTTGTTTCACAATTTACTCTACTGTGAATATTTCCCCGAGCTGTTTCTGCCTTGTCAAAATAGCCATTGGGTAAATTTGAAGTTCTGTTGGTAATAAGCACCAGAAGGATTTTGGCTGAAGTGCTACAATTGAGGTCTCCAGCATACTGGCTAGATTATATTCTTTCCTAATGGCCTTTAGTTATATAGTGTTCATGGGACGCCCAATTGCTTGATGACAGAGTGAAATCAATGTCATATTGTAGCTATTTATGAATCTTTATAACTATAATTCCCTTTTCTGTTAGTTAAACCTACGGACATTGTTGCTGGTTTTGTTAAATAGGTTCTTCTGGGATGGGACAATATGAATGAATATCTTGATGATATTTTCTAACCGACCTTTTTGCTAACTTTTAATGGATATCTGCTATTTGGTTTTATTTGTCTGATATATGCAAGCTGGTTTGAAATTGAAGAAAGATGCTATGTGAACCGTTGGTGAATATTCATTTTAACCTTTTCCCTCCTTTACAGGCACTGTCGAAGGCTCTAACTGACGATGAGCTCATGTATATAAGATGTCAATTCAATTTATTGGATCCAAATAATGATGGTTACATTTCTCTTGAACATCTTAAAAAGGTTAGTTCTTTGATTCATTTTATCCTATAAATCTGCTAATTGTGTGTAGGTTTAGTGGGGGATGAGTAACAAAAGTTGTTTTGCACTGACATGGGATGGAGTAGTGGGGGCTGTAGTGCGAATAATAATTTTGATATTTATATGCATAAGAAGATATAGCCATCTGTTTTCTGGGATTGATGAATTAAATACCTTTCTATGGTTGCACACTGCCAATTTTAGGGTAGATTGTTTGAAGTTGTAAAGATGATTGGAATTTTAATAAAAAATTTATTAGGTTTTAAATTCAGCAGGACAATGGTGTCTGAAATGTACACACACGATATTGACCAACCTATATAGAGACATGTGGTCCGCCCACTTTTCCTAGACATGCCACAAAACCCTTGCCAATCTTTGAGACTGACAGGGGTTGCACCTAAGACCATGCAAATTTGTTCTAGGCTTTTAATTCTGTCATCAATTGATGCAGGCTCTCTGGCGCAATTCAACTGATGCTATGAAGGAATCCAGGATTCCTGATATCTTGAATGCAGTAAGACATTTGCTCTCCTCTGTCTTCAGTTAAGATGTTCTTGCGAGAGGCTTACATGTAAATACTACTCATGTTGTCATTTTACATTCCACATGAATTTCTGTCATTGATCCTCAAATTTAAATGAAACTTCTTCGTTGATAAAGGTAATCTTGATGCCTTGTTGTAACATGTCATGAGATTATTTTATTGGTGTACAGAACAGCAGTACATACTGGCCTTACTATAGATAGGGTAAACTCACTTTATTTGTTTGAAAATTGCATCAAATAAATATTTTCAGGTTTAGCATTTGCAGAACTTCATACCTTTTCAGCCTTGTTTTTTATAAACGCATCTACTGTCTTCCATCAAATCCAGAAATCTTTATGGTTCATGCATGTAGAGGATGCACACTTAAAAATGTCACCTTTAGAGAATTCATGTCCCGTGAAAAAAAATCTCTTGTAGAAACTAAATTATCTTTAAGTTAACAGACAGAAGGTCAGATGATAATTTGCTTTGGATCTTTAATATTTTATTAGAACAAATCTTGAATTCTGTAGTGAAGGTGAGATTTTGTAGCAGTGTTGTTCTATAAAACTTTACTGGCCTCTTTTTATTTTTTTATTTTTTCTTAACATGAATATTATGGCCCAGTTTCCCACTCTCATTATGCAACTTTGATTTCTGGTTTGTAACAAGAAAAAGTTCTCGTTTTCTACTTTCATGTTCATGTGAGCGAACTTGTTATTGACAAATCAGTTGGAGCCACTCTCGTATAGAAGGATGGACTTCGAAGAGTTTTGTGCTGCCACAATCAGCCCTTATCAGCTTGAGGCTTTGGAAGAATGGGAACAGATGGCAACTACAGCTTTTCGATACTTTGAGGAAGAAGGCAATCGAGTTATCTCTGTCGTGGAACTTGCACAGGTATTGACATCATGATTTTTTGCAAGAGGGTTATCTTTTGTGTTACAGATCATGTTACATGCCTTTGCAGGAAATGAACCTTGCTCCAGCGGCCTATTCTATGGTGCGTGACTGGATACGACATGCAGATGGAAAGCTCAGTTTTCTTGGTTACACCAAATTTTTGCATGGTGTGACGATACGCAGCTCCAAAACAAGATACGACAATTGAACTCAAAATCACAATTCATCTTAATTGTTTTTGTTCATGTCATTCATCCTATATGGAATTTTGCATGTTTTTTTGGTTGATCTTTTTTGTTGTGTTCTTTTTATAATTTTGTAGAAAATGTGTTGTACAAAACGATTGTCATAATCAATTGCAAATGTGCTTATATGGGTTCATCTATGAATCGGCTAAAGAACTCGATGAATCGATCCATAGAACCGTCATACCATCAATAATTAAGATTGTATTCTTTTCTCTAAGCTTGGTCGAATGGATTTTTTTTAAGGTTTGACAGATTATTTTGGTATGCATTTAGTCGTTTCACAACTTCACCTTAAGGAACAATGCTTGACAATTATGTGGATTTCTCTGTACTAACTAGTTAGTTAGTATGATACATTTCTTGTAACGTAGTTTCAATATCTTAATTTCAACTTGCCATGTTTATTACTGTGACTAATAAATCCATTCTTTGTAGTTAGTATTTCATAAATACAAATTTGTTCCATCTTGGGTGAATTATTGAAAAAACCTTTTTCTTTGAGAAATTTTTATAAAATGTTTCAACTTTGAAAGATTCTCATAAAGCATCTATTATTGTGTGAAAAGATTAATTTACTTTTATCTCCATCGTATTGCCTTTGTCCTGTGTCACCTTCACGGGCCTTATCGGACCCGCCTCGCTCTTGCATGAGAGAGGGGATGTGATGACGATGGTCCCTGTCGACCTTGTGCAACAGAGGGGACATGGCAACGTCCCTTATGAATAGAGCAGGATTCAGTGGGTTCCATAAAAGGTGACAATTCAGTGGGTTCCATAAAAGGTGACAATGGCTCATATTCCTTACGCACAAGAGAAGATTATATGAGATCGTCATTGTCATCCATTGCGTAGGAGTGAAGATGGCAATAGGTTTGGCGAGGCAAAAGGAAGAGGATGCGATAGTGTAGGTAGAGTCCATAAGCAAAATAATTATTTATGAAAAAAATATTTTACAAGAATTTTAAATTTTTAAAACATAATATATTAATAATAATAATTATTATATCATAAACATCATTAATATTGGTCTCAAGTCTGAATAAAAAAGATGAATTAAATTACCGACAATCAATATAAAAAAAAATATATCAAATCTTATAATTAAAACTTGTCGGTTGTTATATCGTATTCTGCAGTATGTATGCTTTTAGAAACAAACGTTTGTTTTATGTTGCTATTAACTGAGAATTGAAAGCAGAATCCACACCCACACTGTTTGTTCTATAATGGCAACACCAACATTCAGTAGGAATATAGTTTACACAACCATTCTGATTGTTGACACCCAGCCAATGTCACAGGTTGCATAACCCTGCACTTCTTCTCTACCTATCACCGACCATCTCAAAGAGTCTCCGGTGAGCAAAATTGAGATGCAATCCAAAGAGCGCACAACCTAAAATACAAATTAGAGCATACAAAAAAAAAAACACAGAGCGACAAAGGAAAGATCTCCCGGCAGCTACTGCTGCGTGGAGGGGTCAGCAGTCCAGTAAGTCTTGACCGCCACGAGTATCTTCTCCGGGTTGAAAGGTCCGCTTTCATGGTCGATGATCTGGTTGTTCCATCTCATCCCATCTGTGATCGCCTGCACCTTGGTGAGCACCTCCACCGTGTCGCGAACGATCACCGTCCCCTCCGGCCTCAGTATCCTGTCCATCTCCAGGAGGATGTAGGTAATGTCGCACCTGCACACCACCTCCCAAATCAGCCTCTAATGGGTTTCTTCCTTCGAGAAGATGGGCTGCACGACGACACGGCCCTCTTTACCTGTCCTGATAGATGCTGAAGACACCGTCGGCGTGGATGAGGTCGTACGTCCGAGGATAAGTGGAGAAGGCCTCACACCAGTCCTGATACGTTCCGATGAATCCCCGCTCGTAGATGACGCCGAGGGTGTCTTGGTTGGAGCTTGCAGGCACCACGTTCATCACCCACACGGGATACTTCACCAGAGCCGCCGCGAATCCACCCAAGTTGGCGTTCATGTCCATCACGTTCCGGTACCGCCCTTTGGGCAACGGCAGGATGATCTTCTTGTAGTGTGTCACCCGCTCCTTCCACATCGCGTTGTCTTCTTCGAATTTCCTGGAGTCCAGCCCGGGGATTGTGCCCCTGCTTATTCTCGGCGGGACGGCGAATGCCCTCTCGGGCCATTTCTCGAGCACCTCGCCTGCGACTTCATCTGGGCTGCTCACCTCCGGCAGTGGGGTTATGCAGGCCTCCATCTTCTTGTACCTGCAAAAGGGTATCGTCGGCACGGTTGGGGTGTGGAGCTCACGTGGTGTGGTGCAGTGAGTTCGATTCCTACCAGCCAGCATCGGCGTTGTCCTTCTTGCAAATCTGGGGCGTCGTCTCGTAGATCTTTCGGCTTTCGATGCATTCCATGTGGTTGAATGGCTTCTGCCAGATCGCGAGATCCTCCTTCTCGATATATTTCTTCCAGCACAGCCGCTTCGCGACTTCCTCGATCGAGTCCTGCTCGTTCTTGAGGTCTTCTTGAGTTCTTTCCCAGCCTTGGTAGTACTTCTTCCAGTGGATTGGAGGACCGGACAGAATCCAGAACCCTCCTGGTCTTAGAACTCGATCCACCTCGATCAGATACAGACCATCTGAGACAAACATTTTCTCCGGTTCAGAATCCAAGGTCGTTGCACATGAACTGTTGTTCGTTGGAATGTCGATTAGGTTCCGTGACGACTTACCGAAAGCGTGCCAAGGAATCAGACACCGGGAACAGTGAGCCATGTCGAAAGCTCGAGCGGGATACGGCAGCCTCTGCGTGGCCATAACTCCGATCATGGCCGGAACTCCGCGCTCCAGAGCGAACTGCACCTGCGCTTCATGTGTGTCTCTCGGGGCGAACGACATCGTCACGATGTCCCTCCTCAAAAGATAAGCACCCCAACTGGCGACCTCCGAGACGGAAACAGAGAAGGACGACACGTCTCAGTGATCGGAGAGATCGGTACAGAACGAGGAGGAGGAAGAAGGTGTGGGGGGGGCTTACTCCGCAACCCGTGTCGATGGCGGTCCTGATGCTGCCGTCGGTCAGGGAGATGAGCGCATTTATGTCGTCGATGTAAGCGTCGGCACCGCGTGGGAACATGGTGCCGCCGCCGGGGAACCTGAACCGGTCGCCGTCCACCTGGATCCAGTTCTGCACGGCCTTCTCGATGCTGAGCTCCTTGTGGGGGATGTTGTCGTACCAGGCGTAGTCTCTGCTCTGCGGCCACTTGAATGGCGTCTTGTACTTGGGCGGAGCAGGGATGAGACACCGGATGAGCTCGTCGTTGCCGGGGCAGTGCCGCTCCCGGTACACCAGCATCGCCCTCTCGAACCTCCTTCCCCTGGTTCGATCGTGGCAAGGCGTGTACTCGCTGAAGTTTAGGTCACAAGGCGGAAACTTGTCGTTCGTCGCCGGCGTCACGTTGAGGTTCGACTCGTGGTGAGCGTCGAAATCGAGAACCGCATTGGTGGATGACGAGCCACCGGGGCGCAGACAGGGACAGTCGCATCCGGCATTGGTGGCCAGGTTGGAGGTGGGGTCGAGGGTGGGCGGAGTGGTGTTCTGCCAAGCTCCAAGGATGTAGAACGTGATGCAGAGACCGACGACGACCAAGACGTAGGTGACGCTCCATCTGTTCGAATCCAGCTGATGGATCTTGGGAGACCCATTGTTGTCTCTGGCCATCAGACCTGTTAGATAAAAGTCAACCAGAGAGAAGCAGCAGTTGAAAGTCAGACAGCTCCACAGTAGAAAGAGGCAAAAAGAGAAATAAGGGTATATATTGAATAGAAATTAATTCCTACACGGAATCGTTTGGCTTCAGACAAGCAGAGATCAAACACAAAGCGCAGATCTCATACAAACTTATGGAGATAGATTCATCTACACGCATTTAAGAGGAAACAACAAGCACTGTTTGGACGAGGAGGCATGAGGATGATGACACCATTACAGATGAAGAGACATGTAAACTAGAGAATGTTTTTTGCATGGCAGAAATGTGGAGAAACAAAGGCAGCAAAAAATTAGCAGAGAATCACATCTAACCATCAGAGATGCAGAAGAACAAACAATGAAAAGATGAAAACATGGGCAGACCTGAACAAGCTGCGTGTCCACCACCTTCTCTTCGGTCCTCCGATCTCTCTTCTGCACACACCCTGCGTTCATGACAGGAAGCGTAGTGAACATGGAGAAGAGCCTCGGCTTGCAATGGTTTGGTTACCTGAGATGAAGGAGAACGTAGATCACGGCTGCTTTCAATGCTTCTCTCCTTTGACACACTGCTTTTGTTGTGTTTCTTGTTTTCCTGGTCTTTATCTAGAGGCTCGGCATGTATGGATTCGGTCTAAGCAACCAAATTATAGAAGTCACCAGCGCTGCTTTTGCGGAGAATTACCTGCCCCAAATTACTCTCTCTCTCTCTCTCTCTCTTTGTGAGACACACACATGATGATCTCTGTGGTTTAGCTTCAGACTAAGTTTGTGGTGTTTAACAAGATGTTTGTAGTGCTCCACGTATCGTAGCATTGACGTGTGTCTGTAGTGCCAATGATATGCCATACCAACGGTTCGGTTAAATTAGCACCATATAAGTCTCTCTCTCTCTCTCTCCTGGATGATGACATATGACAGTAATTCTTGATTGAGTGCGTTCGTATCAGATGCGCTTAAAGCTCCAGAGCATTCAAAATCACTTTTTTGACTTTGTTGTCGCACTTTGGCATTGGAAAGAATGGCTTTTGGGACAAGCAGATGCCACAGTACTACTACATGTCTTTGTTGTATGGCCATGTCTTTCCCGGTTAGATTCTGGTCCAGCTTGAGGAAAAGTCAGCTTCTTCTTCTGCCCTCCCACTGAGTGCGCATTCCAATAACACTTGATTTCCCAATCCATCTTAGTTGGGTGCAGCATTCGCATTTATAGTTCTTGATGCTCTTGCATGTGCCTTTCAGCTATTGGATCTAAGGAGATGGACGAAGAATCAATGCTGTCAGGCCTACAAATAGATTGGGCTGCTGATTCGGACCTGATCCAATAGCTTGGCCCGAGGTTAAGTCAAGATGGTTGAGCCAGGTCAATTTCATGGATTGAATCATGAATTCAAAACTAAGTAGGTGGACAATGAACAAAGATATTATTTGACAATAATAACAAAATCATAAAATCTCAATCAAGGTTCATCATTTCATGGGCTAGACCCGTCTCCAGATTTATCGAATCGATACATACCAATCTATACCGATATACCGACACAATACGTTAGAGCATGCCTACAAGGACTCCGAACAATCCACATCTCAATTGCCAGTTAGACCAATAAGTATCACCCAAACCATATTGACTCAGGCAGTACAATAAAGGTTGATCTAGAGATCGCTTTGGATGACATTCTTATTTCCATTAAAAAGCTTCTTATCCTTTGGGTGTGTGCTTCCCATCCTCTCTTAAGAGTACAGCTAGAAATCTTTCTTTGGGTATAAATCCTGTTCACCCTAACAAAAGATTGAGAACTGTGCATCTTAAGTCCAATCCACTTAACACTTCTTCCCCTGTTGCTAACAGTTGTAAGTTCTCTAAGCCATTTTGTTTCAGCTACTCTGTCATCTTGCAGCAAAGTACAAAAATCTTTAAAACTTTTTCTGCAGATGTGTCATGGTGTTGCTGTGTTCTTGGAATACATAGTTATAGTCACCCTTTGCTACTGAGTAAAAACACATTGTGAGCAGTGGATTTAATATTATCATACCTGTCAACAAAGGTCACCCACACAAAGTTTGAAGCAATCAACAAATCAAATGGATCCAATTAATACCAAAAACCATGTTCTTTACCTATAAAATGTATTGTATAGTGAAACTCTCACCTGGATTCATAAGCATTGATCTACTGCCTTCTGTGGCACACATGCAACTTTCCCGTACCTGTGTGATGGTCTCGAAATGGAAATCAGTAGAATAACTCCAACAGACGTATTATTAGATGCACCTCATACAAGTACAAGTAATTGTATTATAAATATACTAAAGCCAACAAAAGAAAACTGTGCATCCAACATGAATTCATGATATCACTCTAGCAAAATATACTTTGCATACATGTCTCATGGACAATGATCATAAAGAACCATATCTTGATGTTTACCACTTTAGTGCATAACTTGCATTCACATTTAACATTTTCAGTTGATAAGAAAGATGTTTGTACTTGTACTTGGCTAAAACCCAGACTTAACAACAGAAGACAAGAAAATACTCAAACAGATTCAAGTTCAACCATCGATGAGAATCAATATTCCCAAGGAATGCTTTAAAATGACTTTATATATATTTATCAATTATTATATTATATTTTAAACATTGTCATAATTTTATAATATATTATTTGTATAAAGATATTATACTTATCTAACTAATGTATGAAGTTTACCACTAGAGAACACATTGTAGTTCTATTAGGCATAAGTAAATGATCTATAAGACCTAAAGAAAGGTTATTAGGTGAGTTCTTGAGTACCATTGCAAGAAATGTTGAGATCACATTTATAAATTTTAGGACATAAAAACAAATGATTGACTCATTAAAAAAGAGATGATGAAAATCAAACGTATTTATTTCTTTGATCTAGTCGTCATATGATATTAAACTAATGGTACTTATTTATCAATTAATATTTAAATACCTTTTGTAGATTAAGTTTGATGATTCTTATATTCTAAACATGATAAGATGGATCTTACAATCAATCAATTAAAAATGAAAAAAACTAGAAAAATGATATAACGGCTAGAAATTATGATAGTTCAAAGTTTATGTCATATCACTTGAGTAATATTCTTGATAGAATTAGTAAAGATCAATGGACCAGTCTTATTATTTATTGAAAATATAAAAAGGGACATATATATATATATATATATATATATATATATATATATATATATATATATATATATATATATATATATATATATATA